ATCTATGGGAACTTTTTATACTACACCCTGGGGCAGGGAGGAAATTATGCCACAAGCGGCCTGCAGCTCTTCGCAAGGTCAGCCCAGACTCCAGCCCAGCAGCAGCTCTGAGAAAAACCTCACAGAGGGAAAATCGGAAAGCGCTGGCTCCCCAGAAACTGCCAGCACAGCTTGAACCGCGTCTTGTTACAACCGAACCGCAGCAGCTCCTGCATTCCCAGCCTCTCCCAAGGCATCCGAAATGGCCCAAGCCTGGGACTCCCAAGGAAAATTCTGTTACGCCCTGCAGAGGAATGTTCCACCCACGACCGTTGTTTCCTCCCATAAAAGGACCATTAGTGAGATAATTTCTGAAGCCCACGGTATTGTCTACAGATTTTACTGAAATATCGCACCAGGAAGGGGAAGCCAAATGCGCCAGACTATTTTAAGGCTTTTGCATTTGGAGGAAATTCTAGGGCAAAATTTCAAAAAGGCAGATGCTTTCAACTGGGAAACTTTACACTTTGTGGAGAAGGGAGCATTCATCATTCCTGCCTTTAAAGCTGCTTAAGTAACTCTCCTGGGGCCACATCTATTTGATCAACTTTATTTTTAGATTTAGAATCTGCTTTTTCAGACACCTAAACACTACTTTATACCAACACATGTATGTGACCAAGACTATCTGGGAAGCAGTTTAAAAGTTAAAGACTGACTATAAAAAGCTACTCTTGGACCCTCCTCACACCTACAATCCACTTGGAAGACCTGCTCAATCACCACGTCACCCAGGCAGAACACAGAAGCCTCATCCCCATCATCACCACTGCCACGGCACCAGACAGACGGGACAGGAGACTCGATCACAGGGAGTACGGGGGCTCGATCCGCAATTGGGATTTTGACCTTGCTATCCCTAAGGTTTCCTTTTCCTTAAGGAGCATGGAGAGCACATTCCCATAGCTGAACGCTGCGTATTCCCCACTGAGTCTGGCTGAGCTTCAGATTGCTCGAACTGGGAGAATAACACGCAGCACTATTCAGACACGTCTCCGCTGGCAGCACTCCCTCACCACCAACGCTCAGCCAAACTCTGTCCTGCTCTCAGAACCAAGGCTGGGCTCCCCTCTCCTGGACGGCCGCGAAGCTGCAGCTCTCAGCAAGGCTGAGGGAAGGGAAAGCTGCTTTGCTGGGCTCAGCTGGTAACTGACCCCTTCCACAAAGAAAAATCAAGCTGTTAAAGGCTAAATAAATACCCTTGGTTTGTCTTCTAGGAACCTGCCCGGTATCACCGGTATCCAAACACATGATCAAAAAAAAATAAAAA